TGGCGCCTCTGCATTATTGGGACTCTAGTTTTGGCTACTGGGCACTAGTGTGCCAGGCCCAGCAGGCCACCTATGGGCCAGCAGGTTCCCTGCACTTATACCTACAGAGGCCTGTCCTCACAGCCCACCATGTGTCACACAACCTGTGACAATCACTAGTCACATATCATCCTTATTGAAACTGATGAAATTATCTTGCTAGTCACACACTCATCAGTCATACAGCTGCTACTGCACAACTGACAAAACATAAAATTTGTTACAAATTGATATCAATAGTATAATATGCACATGGTTCCAGTATGCTATACATATGGTAAATTCAAAACTTTATTTCTTATAGAAATAAACACAAATTACATGTTTTAATATATATATTTCCTTCTGGAAGCAAAAATAGATACCAAAATGATTTCTTTTTATCCATCTTTGAGTGCTAGTTTCTCATTATAAAAGAGCAATTAAAAGACTGCTATTCTGTCCTTAACAAATTGTGTTATTTGTATTTTTTTGAAAAAGAAAGAAAGAAAAAAATCAAATGGAATTAGGGTTTCAGATGTTCCTTTTTATATAGTACAAGGAACAAATTTCAGTGATACACTGTAAGGGCAACCTCGCGAGGCTCGAAATCAGAGTCCTGAGCAGAGGGGGAATCCTTAGTGAAACTACTACAACAGGAAGGGACGCTACAGACTCACCTGAGCAGAGGGGGAATCCTTAGAGAACAAGCTAAGGAGCCCTCTGCTCAGGTGCACTACTATATACTAGTGACCGGAGTAATGATAGAGTGACTGCATAGCGACGAACGACGCATGGGAGAAGTCAGGTGTCGCTAATAGACCCTAGGTGAGTGTCGAGTAGCCCTCGAAGCTCCGGAGAGGCAGGTTTGGGACCATGATGCCAAGGGAAGAGCCCAGGCATCCTTAGAAGGCCCAGGAAGGGCTTCGGGGGGTCCAGACTGCCTCTGGGCGTCTCCGCTTGTGACCGTGACCGTGACAACCGGAATCGGAATCGGAATCGATTCCGGGTGTGTGACCGTGACGTGACGGCCGGAAACGGAGAGGGGGGGCATGGAGCGGAGAGGGAAGGAGTTGGTCTAGCCCAAGGGCCGGGGAGTGTCGGAAAGGACCAATGGGAATGGCAGCCAGCCATGACCACTGGAGGGTAGCGACAGGGGGGTCACTCGGAGACGTCCCCGGACGTCTCCAGAGAGGTGGAGGTGTGAGGGCGTGCAGCCTGGGGCGCTGCAGTAGGCACGAGCCTTAACGGCAGTAGGCCTCACCCAAAGGAAGACCCGATGACGGGGGCCGTGGTGGCGGAGTGGGGGGCGGAGCCATGGCGGGGCTCAGCCATTCGAACGTAAGCCCGAACGCTGACATAGATTGGGGACACCCAAGAGGTCCAACGGGTAGAGGTTGCAGGGAGACCTCGATGAGCGATAGCCCAGAGAGGCTATAAGGCCATAGGCTCGAGGTCTCAGAGGAAAGTGGTGCGTCCACATCTGGAGAGGTCTCCGATGGCATTAGTGATCCCTGATGGTGACTCCGGAGAGACTCCCAGAAAGGGGTGGCCATGGGAGTCGGAGGTTGGGGACCACTGGATGCAGGATGTGGTAGGAGAAGTGGAGGAGGAGCGTCAGGGTGCAGGAATACAGAGACTCGGGTGGAGACACGGAGACGTGAGTGGAGACGCGGAGACGTGAGCGGAGACGCGGCGCTTGATGGGATCAAGTGACGGCATCAGGGTTTCCCCTGACATCATCCCCCCTTCAAGCTGCCGTCACCCCGATGCAGGAAAAAAAAAAATCAGGGGTCACTGAGCTCGGCCTCCGGAGTCCCTTGTCCTCCAGTGGTCAAGCTCCTGTCTCTGGCGACGTCCAGAGACTGTCCGTCTCCAAGAGCCAGTGTGACATTACCTTGGCGTTGCTCCAGTGATTGCTGCTGCCAAGGTCAACCTGCGGAGTACTTGCGTTCTCCAGTGGTTGAGCTCCCATATTCGGAGATGCCCCGGAGACCTGCGGTTCCAGTGCCTCTCTGAGAGATGGTGCAACTACACCTTTGCGTAGCTTCGGTGTGCGCCCGCTTGCACTCTGGTCGCATGTTGCTCCAGGAGGGTCCTCTACGAGTCCCCTCCTATACCTCCTCCATCGCCCCTTCAAGAGTGCGGCGCCCCCGACGTACCACAGAAAAAAAAAGGGGGGGTCTGCGCCTGACATACACAAATATATTCAGAAAGAGTGTCTTTCTATGCCTCTTTTAGACTATCACAAAGATATTATTTGTGCTTGCCTAAAAGGGGAAAGGAGAGGGTATCTTCCTGTATACCTTTCAGTTCCACTAAAAGACTAGCTTTCTGGCGGGACTAACAGGCATAAAGAAATATCATATTTCTGTACTCCTCATAATCCTAGGGTTCATCCAAGATATACCTCAAGGTATATCTTGCAGCTTAGCTATGGTTACCCTAGATGATATTGTGACAAAATGCTTATATGATTGGCCACAATACTGCCAATCATATCATCTTCAGGGGCATGCCCAGCTTAGTTCAGGCTATAATCTTTGAATTTTTCAAATGAGCTTTTTGGCCAAAAGCATTGTGAGGGGAGAGTGGATGATAAATTTTGTAGGGCATTAAGATGATCTTATAGAGTTATCTTGTTTCCCTACCAAAGTAAAAGCTATGTGAGAAACAAAACCAAATCAGAGGATGCCAGTTGGCCAGTGACTCTGGAATTTACTGTGAATTTGGTTCCCATGAGTTGATCTAAAAAGTACAAGTTTTTCTACAAATTTTCTTTTTACTGAAAACTGATGGTTTCCACAAAAGGAAACGAGTTTACCATTAATTTTCCCTTTGCAGAAACCATTTGTTTTCAGAATTTATACAAAAACTTGTACTTTTTGAACCAACTTTCAGGAGCCAAATTTAAGGTAAACTCTGGAGTGAATGGTTGAAGCATAACTTATACATGTATTTGATAGAGTGCTAATACTATAATGTTGGATATTGCATATAAACTCTGATATTGCAGTGTCCTCTGACTGGAGACTCTCAGATCTGTACAATGTTGTTGAAAATAGGCTCTTCAATATACAAGCACATGATATGCATCTGATCTCAGCCTATTGAAGCTCTACTTATAATGACACTAGCATAACAGCCAGAACATAAATGAAACATGTTCTTTATTTAGATATTCAGGACTTGATATCCATGATTTATGATTTTGCTTAATATAAGCCTATGACCCAAGAGCATTAACATCCAGTGTAAGTCCAAACTAGGTGAGATAATCAATCTTTCAGTCATAGTTCAATATAATCTCAAACTGACCTTCAGATTTCCATTGCAACCCTCAAGTACCTCACCCTATAGTTGGTGGTGTGTTCCTCACTTCAGTCTCACCATTAAGTACTGCCACGTTGAAGTAAGCCACAGCATCATGAAAGCTATCTGCCTTGTGGTAGCCATTGACACTGATACCATTAGTGTGAAGCCAGGCTTCAGAGCTACCCTTGTCAGCATTGAGTATTTCTGAGTACTGGAAGGACATACAATGCTGCATAGACACCTGGTTCAACTCCATGAACCACCACAAACCACCCTTCATCTGCTGCACGGCCCTGCAGTCTTTCTGGGGGGATAAGCTCCCAATTCAGTGGAAGTGGCTTGGGCATCTTGTCAAGTGGGAGTGTGAAGCTAGATGAAGGGATAGAGGAGGTGAGCCCTGATGCACTGTAATACTTCCATGCATTATTTGCAGCATCAACAGAGGTGTATCCTTGTTGTATGGCACCAGAAAACCCAGTTGTGGAGGCAAGAACACAAGCCCTATGATCCTTTGAGATTGGAGCATACTTCAGAAAAACTAAACTCACCAGTCTTCCCTTGTGTTCTTGACAATCACCCCAGTTTTATATCCAAAAAAGATCACCCCAAGCAGCAATCTTCTTCTTCTTGGACTTGGGTGATTGGACCTTGACTACATGGGCACCTGAAATGCCTTGTGTATGATGAAGAGCCTCTGACCTTACAAGCAGCAGTAGTGAGCAATACACATAGTCCACAAACTAAAGCACAGACCATCTTGAAGTCTCTGTCAAGGCATGACCAGGTGACTGGTATCTGTACACTGCTCCTCCTTCTGGAGGGTTGTCTGGTAGGGTTGATCCTATAAGCATATCTCATAGCAGCATATGGCCACTCACATTGGACTGCATTATCATCACCCTTGTCATTGAGAGTAGCTTTTGCAAAAGCAGATTCCAGTCCTGCCCCCGCCTCCAATGCAAGCACTGTAGCATCGGAGGTACTGGTATTGGCAGTGGGTCCAGAGGGGGGTGCACATAGTGGGAGAAACAGAGGAAGAGAGAGTCATCTGACAGGCAATTAACCTGAAGCGGCGGACATTGCCCGACGGCCGATCATTCTGCAGCTTCTGTTCCCATGCCAGTGATCGAGTCAGGCTGGCAACACGCCAGTGACGCCACCAAGACGCCACAGCCTGAGACCAACCAGAGACCATCGAAGAAGCAGCAGTAGTGGAGACGAGGATTTTTGCACACCAATTGCAAACCCTTGAAGTCCGCAGTATCATATATAGGTACTTAGTAGCACCAATTCTAATCTGGGATGCAGTGACACTGGCATCTGTGGGGATAAATACCAGCTGCTCTCAGCACACTACACAAGACTGCTCACATAAGAGTACATCTGCATAGCTGGCTTGCCTTGCACACTGGCATGTAGCCACCTTGGGGGCTAGCTGGCACAATGTAAGGGTTACTACATTGGGCTAGCTGGCCTCCCAGATACTGACACGGCGTTTGTGCAGGGTCTTCTTTTATATCTTCAAGGACTCGACAGAGATTCAGTAAGGGTTGTGTCGGAGACAAAAACCTGCCAGGATGACAACAACAACAGGGCAATTTTACATCGCGTCAAAAGTCCGCTGCCCAACTCAATAAATAACCTAAGACATGAAATGCCGTGGCCCGTTACAACACATTTGCAGCAAACACGCCCGCTGCAGCGACACACATCCATCCCACTGCACCTACGTGCACCCCACGAGCAGAGTTTCCCGCGCCGGGGCGCGTTTGCGTCACCGTGGCCGTTGCGGTCGCCGGGGCGGCGTTAGAGGCCGGGCGCGTGATGCTGGAGGCGCTCGGTGCAGCAGAGCTCGGGCGCACGCTGCTGCTTGGGCCGGCGCTGCTCACGCTCGGGCCAACACTGACGCTGCCCCCCGCCGGGCCGCAGACGTTGTCTTCCGCTGGACAAACAGTTAACAACTGTCACGCAAAGAAAGAGGGAAGGACACACAGCAGGCTTGGCCAACGGGGCAGCAGTTAGCCCCGCAAACGACGCTTCCGTCGGCGGGGCAGGCGATGGGCGGGCCGGCGCAACCTCCTGCGGCGGTAGTCGGGCAGCAGCCACCCGCGGGGTCACAGGTGGAACTGGCGGAGAATTGAGACGGTTGGGGCACAACAAAAAGGATGACTCACCCGGGGGGACAGCAGTCGCCTGCCCCGCAGAACTCGCCACATTCCTGGCGGGCTGCGAGGAGGCCGCCGATGAGCGAACCGGCGAGTGGCGCACGTGCAGCGAACGGGCCAATGGCGTACCGCCTGGTTGGGCTTTGCAGCGCTTGCGCAGAGAGCGTGAAGAGCGCAGCGACGAGACCAAGGTGGCGGACAGAGAACATGGAGAGAGAGAAGACGATGCTTAGTGCAGAAGATGTGATTTCCATGGTTAAATACCCGCGGAATGTATGCCGATCGAGGGCAGATAGTCGACAGGCAGGAGCACGTCAACTGGCGGTGCAACAAGACGGGCCTCGTTGTCGTTGGATTGTGTCAGGGTCGAGTGGAATGAAGCCGCGTACTGGCAGGAGAGAGGGTGAGACTCCTGCATAATCGCAATGGAAAGCCTCCTCAGGCTGCACACTGGGCTTCGTATCCGAAAGCCAATGAGCGCCCGTAGTTGAAGAAAGAGCCGCCAAGCCACGTACGAATACTGTCCTCTTCCTCTCACTCTGAGTCACTCCCCTCCAAATCACAAACTCCTTCAAGTTCACAGCCTTCGCTTGGCGCACTATGAATAGCGCCTCCTCCTAAATGCACTCTGCAGCGCCGCTGCCAAGAATGGCGATTGGAACGGAGGCTCGGCAACACCCAGCATGCAGCATGTGTCGAGGACGAGCAGCAGCGCGCTTGAGCACGCACGACTGAGATGATCGTTGGCAGCAAGGAATGCACACGTGCCGCAGATGGCTGTGCCGCGATCAATCAGTCAACACGATCACGCGATTCGATTTTCCCGTTACATCCTTGCTCCCAGAAGCAAAAATACACACCCACCACGGAGTCCGGACCGCGCTACTGCAGGCGTAGGACCGCAAATAGCTCCATGTGCGAGAAGCCGCGCCAGGCGGTAAGAAGACCGGGCTTATCGTCATGGGTGACACTCCCATGTACTGTGCCCAGAGATGCGTCTCACATTAGCATAACTCATATTTTTGGTTACTGAATTGCATGATGATGAGGCCTTGAGGATGGGCACTTTTACTTCAGCAGTTAACTAAGTATCGCCCAACCCATACTTATGGCGATGAGGTCACAGGAAATGCTGTGGCAGTGCGTTGATCAAGAGGCGTGACACGAGACGTCACGGTGACACGTCTGTCAAGGCCTTCCACTCACAGTGACCCAACCTCAGTCAAGTGCTCCGTGCAGACTGATAGCAATGGAGAGGGGGGGGGTAAAGTTCTCATGCCACAAATCCCGCCTGACGCTTTTCAGGCGTAGAACCAAAAGCTTCAGTGAAAAAGTCGTGTTGTTTGGATGAACGGAAGCAACATGACTGATTGCCCACCACTCAACGGTGAACGCGAATCCACCACCTTGTTGCCATCGACGGGCTCATCGGGGTGCGGGCTGCAAAGGCCGTCGCGCAGCACTCGCGCTCACAAAAAACAACAAATCCCTTTCCTCCATCGTACTCCCACCATGCGACTCCTCCCTTTCGTTACGCTCGCCGCCTACATGGCCGTCGTCTCTGGCGGGAGTCCATTGGCTGGCCGTGCGATGGCAGTGCACGAGTCTGTGAAGGCCGTCCCGAACGGCTTTGCGCGCGCCGGAGCCGTGGCATCGTCGGAAACGGTCACCTTGCGCATCGCTCTCGCCCACACCGACATTGGCGGACTGGAGAGGGCCACATATGATGTCTCCACCCCGTCCAGCACTAACTACGGGAAGCATCTCAGTCCCGAAAAGGTGCGTGCTCGATCGGCTGGCCACGTGTTGTCCCTCTAACGCCTTTGTAGATTGCAGAGTATGTAAAGCCTACAGCGGAGACCCTGTCTGCCGTCAAGGGCTGGCTCGACTCGCACGGTATCGCCGCCAAATCCATTTCCTTCGCAGGAGACGTCCTCGAATTCACAACCCCCGTCAAGACTGCCAACACGCTCCTTGCAGCAGACTTCATGCAGTTCACACACATTGCCAGCGGCAAGAAGAGCGTTCGCACGCTGAAGTACTCAGTGCCCGTTGACCTCCAGAGTCGCATCAAATTCATTCACCCAACCGTCGCCTTCGTGTCCCCGCTGAAACGCATGCCAGGCGTTGCGGCCATCAATCACGTCCCAGACAGTAGGCGTGCAGAGATCGTCCCGCGGCAGGGTCGTCCAATACCGGAAAGTTGTTCGACAGCGATTACCCCGGTGAGTTGTTAATCGACGTTCGTTCTCGCCTCATTACGATCGATAGGTTTGTCTTCAAGCTTTCTATGGTGTACCAGCGGCCAAGGCGAACAACAGCAGTACAGGCAACGTCCTCGCTGTCGCCGGCTACATCGATGTGCGTCTCCACTCGGACTTCTGCTGAAACAAACCTGTCATTACTATAGGAATTCGCTAATGAGGCCGACCTTACTCTCTTCCTCGAGAAGGACAACCCTGCCTTAGTTGGCACCACATTTACCACCAGCCTCATCGACGGCGGACGGAACGAACAAACACAGGGGTGCGTTGCTGTACCGCCTGATATTTCGGCGGTAACTCACGAATGAGTCCTCAGTGAAGCGGGTGTGGAGGCTGGCCTAGATATACAATATACCGTCGGCGTTGCTGGCGGTGTTCCCGTCACCGTGCGTGCATCACTCTGACCTGGCCTACGTCTTAACATTGCTTAGTTCATCTCTGTCGGCCCAGATAATGCCGATGGAATTCAAGGCTTTGTGGTACGTGTGCTTCACTTAGAGAAGCAACATCTCATCTGTGGATACCAGGACATTACCAACCACATCTTGTCTCTACCTGTGGAGACACGACCCACTGTGCTGACAACTAGCTACGGCTTTAACGAGCCAGAGTTGCCCATTGAGCTTAACACGCAAGTTTACGCATCCCCTCGAAAGTTTGCCGCTTGACTCAATCGAACTTAGGGCAATGTGCAATGCTTACATGCAGCTCGGCGCTGCCGGCGTCTCGGTTCTATTCTCCTCCGGCGATGGTGAGTAGCTTCTTCATCTCTTCTTTCAGCTGTTGATTGTCAGGTAGGCGGAGTTGCCGGTGCCTATTTGGCGGAATGCACCGAGTTTGTACCGACCGCCCCAGTTGGCTGTCCCTTCATCACCTCCGTCGGCGGCATCACCGGCCTTCCGCCGCAGAGGGCTAGTTTATTTTCCAGTGGCGGGTTCTCCAACCACTTTGCGTGCGTGTAATCTACTCTTTCTTCTGCACCCGCTAATCTACCTTGCGCCAGGGTTCCCGACTACCAACGGGCAGACGTCGAGTCATACAAGGCAGGTCTCGCTGGCCAGTATGCGGGGCTTTACAATACCTCGGGCCGCGGATACCCAGACATCGCCATCGAGGCGCAACGCCTGGAAATGGCATATCGTGGGTCATTCTGTTTACTTGGGGTACTCGCTCATTGGAATCCATACTAGAGGGCGAGTTTGAGCTTGCCTATGGCACGTCTGCGGCCTCACCCGTTGCTGCGTCGATCTTCGCCCTCGTCAACGACCGCCTGATCGCGGCAGGCAAGCCCGTCCTCGGCTTCCTCAACCCGTTCCTTTATAGCGCTGCTGGTCAAGCGGGGCTCACGGACATCACAATTGGTGAGGGATCATTGGTGCTTTATGAAAATGCTAAGTTGAGGCAGGCCACAACCTGGGCTGCGATACGGACGGGTTCGCCGCGAAGGAGGGATGGGATCCAGTCACGGTGCGTGTCTCAGCTATATATTCGGACATAGATGCATTGATGAGCAACAGGGCCTTGGATCACCGGATTTTGACAGGTTGCTAGCTGCGCTCGGACTTTAAGGTGCATCGAGACAGAATCAAGGGAGCCATGATGGAAGATGCCATGGGAAATTTTCAGGCCGTGTCTCCAAGCAAACATACTTATTCCACCATAAATAATGCACTATCTATAAGCATCCACCCAAATTCGCTCGCTTCACATCGAGGGCTCGCCCAATCCATGGGATGCGTCGCGCGTCGTCATACTGCCGAGCCTGGCGCAGATGAGAAAGTCAGCCAAAAGAACGTAATCAATCGATGGAAAACACACCAAGGAAGTCCTGCAGCGAGCAAAAGTAACAAAGCGCGGCCGAAGCGACGCAAGAAAGCCCAAAAATTTCCACTGGCAACAGAGGATGGTACACGGGCGTAGAGTGCCACCACCACGTCCGTGCGCTGCGACTAGGAGATATAGGTGCAGTGTGCGCACCACCACACCCATGCGGTCCGACGTCGCCTTCCACCACGAGTCCCACCAGCGCCTCGTCGTGCCTGGCCGCCACACTGGAGCTACCCGCGTGACAAGGCGTAAAGTTTGCATAGCGTATGGTGCTGACAACGGCTCGAGAGACGATGAAAACAGCGTACAAGCAAAAGTAAGCGTCGGGACGCCCCGCTGGGAAAGACATGCCAGTCTCCTGCGAGGCGCCCAACAACCAAGGCAGGGGCTGAACGGGCCACACACGCCTGGCACGGTACGGAGCAGCACTGGACCACGAACTACGTAGAGTGGGTCCAGGCGCAAGAGATCACGGTAAGGTACGAGGGTAAGCGGCACGAGGCACGGCACGAGTCTTGACTCTTCAGTGTTCACGGTAAATTCGAGGAATTCGACGAGTTCGCGGGCGATGTCGCGCGGGAGGGGTGGCGACCGTGACTCAGCATCACCTGGCCGTCGAAGACAACCGGAACGCAGGACACGCCCGGCGTCTGGGCACCGATGGCGCGGGTGGAAGAGGAACGGAGGTGACGAAGGACTGCGAGATGCTCGCCAGGAGAACGAGACGGAGAGAGGCTCGCGAAGGAGAGCGGCAAGGCCGTTCTGTGCGGGGCGAGCGTCGCAGCCTTGTTGCCTAGTGGGGGTCAGGAGAAAAGTGGGTCCTGGGGCTGTGACACCCCGTCACGACGAAGAAAAAGAAGTGATGGTGTGATGGCATTGTGTAATTGCCGTCCGGAGTGGCTAGTGCCGGAAGAGGCTGGGGCGAGTGACGAGGTAATGACGCCGCGTATTGCGCAATATCCACAGACTGCAAAGCGCCAGAGGAGCAGGTCAAATCAGTGTTTCTCAGTCTCAATCACAGATGACTCAGACGCACCCACGTCATCACGACACCGCCACGTAAGTCTTCTTCCTTCTTCCCCTCATCTTGAATCGCGCACTCGAGCGACGAGCGTCGTGTGACTAGGCGCTAACTCGGACTACACTACCACCATCCCGAACATCAACGCGCTGCTGTAACCTCCACATCCACATCCATCAAGACTTGCGACTTATTCCAGACATTGAAGCAACGTCAAACAAACATTTTCGCCTAACCTTGGCTGCTGGAACGGTCTGGGCTTATACCGGTGTAATCAGCCAACAAGTATTACAGACGTTTGCAAAATTGATTGCAGTCGTGAATTTTGATTTCGGTGTTTGTACTTGTTTAGATAGACCCAATCTAGCCTAATTTGGAAGGGTCCGGTGACAGAATGCCCGGCCGATCTTCCCTTCACGGTCTCTTCCTTCCGCCCATGCCCGGCCAAGTTGTCGACGAGCAACTCCGCCATCGTATCGTGGCCTGGAGGCACCAGCACAATCTCTCTGCCCCAGAGATTGCAGCACTCGCAGGCTGCTGCGAGCGAACCGTATACAACATCCTACGACTTGACCGCGACTTTGGACAACCAACCAACCCATTTGTCCCCAGGGGCCGGCGGTCGTCGTGCGCCTGAGCGGTTTGGGGTGGAGTGTGGAGTAACGTGCGTCACACATGGCCCAAATTGGGTAGACTCCGGGTCTCCGGCCGGGATGTCATCCTCAATCAAAATTCACGACTGCAATCAATTTTGCAAACGTCTGTAACTAATGAAACCAGTACTACTAGTGGCGGCGGCGGTGACAGCGCGCTCGATACCTTGGAGGCGGGGACCTGGAATGCGACAGACGGCTGGCATCGACGCCCCTCATCGTATATTGCTATTTACGGCGCCGAAGCGAGAGGGAGAGGCTTAAAAGCGAGCGCTACAGGGTCTCAATCCATAGCACCTACCCTCGGCACTTCCACAACCACAGTTCGTCCTCTTCCGTACATAGCTGCACCAACTCACTTGTGAACAGCTCTCTACCTAACCCATCATGCCCCGTCGCGATTTCGAAACGCCCATCCCGATCGGCGGCTCCAACAGCTCTTTTCTCGTGCGTTCTACCTCACCGCAAGATGACGTCTAATGCCGCCCCCAGCTCAAAGGCAGTATTTCCGAGACCGAGCTCGACGCCGAGCTCCTCGCCGACCTGCCCCTCCTTGGCAAGGTCACCCTCACGCACATCCGCGGCGACGTCCGGGACGGCCTCGCGACACACAACTCGTTCAACGTCGGCCTGTGGTCCGGCACCGTCGAGTGCACGATCCACGACGACTGGCTGTTTGTTGCGCTCACCGCCGGTATGTTCGGCCAGTCGATCGGCCCCGTGAAAGTGCGCCTGTTTTACATCCCGTGAGTGCTCCCTTGTCCGTTTGCAACGTTGTTTGGCGATGCTGACTGGCTCTCGTGCAGGCAACAGCTGTTGGCGAAGCTATAATTGCTTATCTGAATCATGTTTACAATATGTGCGAAATATAATCATCATGCAAGACCAGCAAAGTACTCGATTCATTCTGAGACCCGGGCCGTGGGGTGGGCATCACTGTCAGGGGATGAGGGTCCAGGTGCCTAGTTGATACCAAAGCCGGGGGAACAGCCCCACGGCCAACTACTTAAGTACAGGGCTATCTGCGCACGGACCAGTCACGTGATCAGTCACAGCTGTCACATCACATGCTCCCCTTACACCAACCCCTCCTCAAGATCCGTCGCCTCGACGGATAGGCGGAGTGTAGGGTTCTGCGAACTCATATTCGGGATCGCCAGGGAAATAGAGGTTGTCGCCTATGACGCGATGACTGCGCAGGTACGCCCCCTCGTCGGGCAGTCTGCCGGTTACGCGGCCGGGCGTGAGCTACGTCGATCTGCATAGGAGAGCCGATCGGGGTAGGTGACGCGCTGGTCAGCGCCGACGGAGTGGCCATAACCACCGAGGGTGCGAAGGGAGTAGGGTAAGGCTGGGGGGTAGGAAGAGATGGTGCCGCGGCCTGCATAGGTGGGGTAGTGGCGGCGGCAGGTTGGCGGGGTAGAGAAGACGGGAAGAGGGGGGAAGACAGTCGCGAATGCCCAGCTGGCCCACCAGCGGCCGAGGCCCTCGGATGAGTGGCAGGTCGAACCGCAGTGGTGGCGGGGGCACCTGAGACTGGGCGTGGATCACGGTGGACGAGCGGTGCAGAGGGGCACGGTCGACATCCATCTTCGTGGCACGTGGTACAGGCACAGGCGCGGCAGGAGGAGGGGGGCAGGTCCCTCAGCAGACGGTGGCTGACGTTGCTTCTTCGCACGGACACGCTTGCGCATGAACCGTTTCCCAAGCGCGATAAGCGCTTCACCGATTTGCTGGTCGGTTCCCCGGATAGAGACCCGGCGCTCGCCAGGCGCAGCGATCATCAGAGTACGCGCGAACTGAGCACCGGAAGTGTCGTGAGCTTGGTGGAGACCCTTGCCGCCGCGACCCACGATATGCCCGACAGCCGAGTCAGGCACCACAAGCGTACAAGAGAAGCGCGTGACAGTGTCGGGCGCAGTAGGGGGGGAAGGTTTCGGCGAGTGGTATGGAAGTGTGGGCTGCAGCAATGACGGCAGGGGTAGGGGCCGGGATCGTTGGAAGAACCCAGCGACTGCCGTCCCAGACACCATGGAATGTAGGACCAGGGGAAGGGGGAGCAGGGGGTGGAGCAGGCGTACCATACTCAAGACGGTCAAGACGGTCGGTGAGGCGAGTAATTTCGCTCTGCAGAAGCAGGCAGTACGAATACAGGTCAACAGAGACGCCGGGAGTCGTCATTGGAGGAGAGAAGGCAAGCACAGTAGGGTGAGGACGAATATAGGAGATAGAAAGGATCAACTGGGGCTAGAAGAGTGCCAGAGTCGATATAGAGGCTTTGGTATGCTGTCAGGGGATGAGGGTCCAGGTGCCTAGTTGATACCAAAGCCGGGGGAACAGCCCCACGGCCAACTACTTAAGTACAGGGCTATCTGCGCACGGACCAGTCACGTGATCAGTCACAGCTGTCACATCACATACTCCCCTTACAATCACATCCGAGTCGTCACTTTGCACTGGTCGTAGTGCTGGCTGTAGTGGTGGACGAGAGCCACTGCTGGGGAATGCACTGGGAGTAGTAGATATTCTGGACAAAGCAAACTGATCCAGGTTTGCAAACTGCAGTCCATCGTGAGCCGTGACTATGAGCATAGTTCTCTGACAACACACCTGTGTCGCCTGTGTAAAGAAGTCCGCCGCACTGGCCGTAGAATTCCTGGTATGCCGCGACGGAGGACACGAAAATAAGGAACGGGGAGAGAATCGATTGGAAGCGCATGTTTACCTGGATGCATAGGCTCGCGAGCCAGCCTTTTAAGATCGGGGTCCGGTGAATCCTCGTTTGAGTATCGGCCTCGCATGCCACGCGGCGACTTCAAGTTCTTCTTGTCCTCAGAGATCCAACCTCGTTCGTTAAGTACTAATCAATGTAGATCATTTGAATTTCGCTCGGAACACCGAGAAGGCCCTACCTGATGGCCGCTTTGCCCGGTCATCTGAATAAGTATTGCCGCACTGGCACAATGTCTTGGTGCATTATACATGTGTTCAAGAAACGGAAAATCACTGCACCCAGATGATTGGCTCAAGGGGTGAGGCAAACATCATCCACGTAATATTAAATAGATTCACTAGCAAGAATATTTAGACTATAGTCAAATAAACATTGAAAATATTTAGAAATATATTATGCTCTTTGTTGATCACTTTGTCTCTCTAGACAGACCCGGCGTCGCATTACTCCGCCAAGAAGGGTCTGTTGCTAACCACGCTGATTTGACATCGGGTTGTGATATTAGATACTGACCCATGTCATTCAATTCAGCAGGCCTGTGACTCGTGACTGTTTGGCCGAATTTTGTGTGACCTCTTACCTAAATAGGAAATTCAGTGCAGCGAAGGCACAAATATTTTGAGATTCTTAGAACCCCCCTAAACTTTTATATAGCAAAGGTCTTTTAAGGACATTCTGGGACCTCCCTACCCCATGTTACTCTTATATTAAGCAGATGTTGTGTGAATGTATACACATGTTTGGCATGTGCTTTAACAATTGATTTGCTCCACACTTCCATTTTTGGGTCACTGCTGTTAAAGTCCTAAATTGGTAAAAAAAAGCTGTAAAAATTCAACTAATCCTCATTGGGATGCAAAGCTGTGAGTGATGTCTTGCACCCAGTACTGTGAACAAGTGGTATATAAGGCTATTTACAGGTAAATATTCTCAAATTGCCCACAAATTGAGAAATAAGTACAAAAAGTTTAGTGACATAGGTTGCGCTCAACATATACTTGCAACAGATATTTAACAAAGCCATGGGGCATCTGTGTGCGATTCTGTGGTTAGTAGCAATGTTCTTAATATAGAAATTTATTATTTAAGCAATATTCAAGTTCAAAGCTAGGGCGTAGCTGTCAGGGGAACCTCCCTTTCGGCCCCTCGGAGACGCCTCCGATTCCGGTCCGACTCCGGTTCCGACTCCGGTCCGGCCCTCCATCTCGCCCGCACAATCACCGATCCGTCAACGCCCTCCCGACGGTCGCCCTGGGACCTCGCCTGCGACGCCGCCCAAGCCTTCTGTGCCCGACAGCGGCAGCTACGGACAAGCAGTATATAGTCAGCTACCTAGCAGGCGGACCCTTAGAGTTTCTTCTCTTTGGATCCTCCCCTGCTAGGACCTTGATCTCAGGCCTCCGGGGTTGCCCTTACAGCAGAAGAAACTCTCTACGGGATCAACCGGACAAGATTGCCAGGTTCGGCGCTGACTCAGGCTCGGAGTACGAGTCCGTTCCGCCCTCGTCACCGCCCCTGCCACTTGTCCCCTCCTCCTCTACTCCTGTGGTCCCCGCACCCGTCATGCCGTCCGGAGTCACTCCTACCGCAGACGCCCGGCTGGACTCACTCGAGGCGAAAATCGATAGCCTAACTGAGGCCCTTGCTTTACTCACCAACCAGGCTTCCGCTGCCGCTGCCGCCGCTAATAATGCTGGCGGACCCCAAACACCATCGCCGGAGACGTCGATTCCGACTCCGACTCCGGTCCAGGGCGACTCCGAAGCCCTTTTTGGCGACATCAACCTCGCCTCAAAATTGGTCTTGCGACCAAACCCCCCGTTCACCTTCAACGGCGACCGGAAACGCGGCCGCGCGTTCCTCTCTACGGGTCCGCACCTACGCCCGCCTTGCCCCTGAGGCCTTCGTGGTCAACGGAGAGGCGAGCGAGGAAAAGGCTGTCCGCTATGCCATGTCGTTTATGGCAGAAGGACCCGCTCAGCAATGGGCGGAGCGCCACGGAAGCAAAGCCCCGTTTCCGTTTCCGTCCTGGGGCTCGTTCGTTTCCGAGTTTCGACTCCGGTTCGTCGAGGAGAATGAGCAAGATCACGCTCTCTCCAAGCTGGAGACTTCCGCCTATCACATGGGTACAAAGGATGTCTACCAGTACACCGACGACTTCGAGGACCTGATGGACCTCGCCGGATTCAAGACGCGCTGGTCAAGGTGACCAAGTTCCGCCACGGACTTGACCCCCTGATCAATAACGGAATCACGTCCTCGAACGACCCCCGGACCTCCGGGACTACCTTAGCTGGCGCACCCGGGCCTTCCGTCAATACGAGGCCCTGGTCCGGGCCAAGCTGATCAAGTCAGCCGCCCCCAAGACGCCTGGCGGTTTGATTCGGACTCCGTTTCCGGTCAACCGCATCCCGGCTCCGGCCCCTTTCCGCCCGGTGGCTCCGGTCGTGCCACCGCGGCCCGCCCCCCGCTCCGGCGCCTCCAGCTCCCGTCCCTATGGAGTTGGATCGCACCAGGGCTCGGGGTGCCCCTCGTCGCGCCTGCTTCAGGTGCGGCGACCCAAACCATCTCGCCCGGGATTGCCCCTCCCCCCCGATGTCCGCTCAATGGACATCCTCGGCGAGGTGATCCAACAACTCGGTGATGAGATGTTAGCGGAGTTGATCGCCCGCTACACGGACACAGCTGCCCTGCCGGAGACGGCAGCGGAGTCGATGGCCGGAGAGGATTTTGTCCCCGCGACGAGTGACTGGTGTGCCCTCGTTCGCGTCTATAAATCGTTTTGCCTCTTTGTATGATGAATGCAGTTCCTTGCCCTACAATGAGCCCGAAACGAAAGACACACCCTCTCCTGCCCCCCGCCTCGACTCCGTCTCCGACTCCGCCCGCGACTCCGGTCATCGTCCTCCGCCGCCTCACTGCCTGGGAAAAGAAACTGCCCAAGCAGTACACCGTTGCCGCTGCCCCTGGGGCGAACTCCCTCCACCTCCCGTTAGAGCTCGAGTCCACCACCAGCGCGCTGAAGCTCTCACTCTCTGGGCTTGTCGACTGTGGTGCCACCTCCGACTTCATTGACACGAACTATGTTGCTCGGAAT